AGGTTCTCTCCAGCCGGCTGGTACCCGGATAATATATAATATATAATATGTAATATATAATATATAATATTATATATATATATATATGATATATAATATATGATATTTAATATATAATATATGATACATATAATAATATATATATATACATATATATATAATAGTATATGATATGTAATATAAGATATATAATATATAACATATCATATACAATATATAATATAATAAGAAATAAAACAATACAATACAATATAATATGATATGATATAACTACATAATATAATATGATATAATGTAAAATAACATGATATGATATGAGAAACATAATATAACATGATACAATATAACATCATATAATATCATATAATGTGATATAATAAAATGTAATATAATGTAATATTAATATATATATATACACACATATACAGCATTGACAACTCACGAAGTGTTCAACTCGGGTCGAATAAGACAGCAATAAACAGGAATGCCTGACAATACCCATTGACTTTCATGCTGCCTGCATTGACTTTCATGCTGCCTGGGTAGCGAACATGTGCCCCGCTTACTGCATATCTCGATTTCCAATCGACCTCAGTTGGACACGACGCAGGAAACGTACCTCAACACGTATGGCTACAGTGCACTGATGGTAAAGTATATGCCCGGGCCAAATACCGCGACAGCCATCACACCATCTCCGTGACCTCGGAGCGTTTGCACCTGCAGCGGACATATCCTTCCCCTCCTCCTCCTCCTCCTCCCCCTTCTCCTCCTTCTTTCGACATCGTCGTCGTTTCGTTTCCGTCCGCGTCAACACGTCGAGTCTTGTGAAAGCTAAATCACCACCCGCACGATTGAACCAGTCCAGTAAGTCGAGTGCGCACTCTGCTCGGTCCATGTCCCACATCTTCAGCGTACAGTCCTGGGATCGGTCTTGAACATGTCACTAATCCCTCGTGTTCTGCTGCATTGCCTTCAGCAGCTTTAGCTTTCATGGCCTACAGCCCCTCCTTTTCTCCAAAAGTGAAACACTAAACGGTAGAGCTGAGCCAAAACATGCCAAAACGTTGGAACCTGACTATCATTATCTTCCCAATCCCACACATGGAAAAGAAGGAAAAGACAGGATAGATCATCCTACTTCAATGTTCCCCGCGGAAGAAGGGATGTTTTGAACAGGCATGCAACCCAAAAACACTCCTGACTCTGCATCGTGACGGATATCACTCTGCAGGCTTAACAAAACGAAGGCTGAGGACTCCAACAGGCAAACTGGTGACACGACAAGGGAGTGCGCAGAAAGCAGAGAAGGTATCGAAGTGAGGTATCAGCAAAACACCATTGCGGACATCGGGGTCGATTTGGAGCTACCACCGAAATCTTACGGACTTCACACCTACGCTGTCGTGCTCCTGCTTAGAAGTGTGGTCTTGGCCTTCATGTTTCCCGAGTCCTTCACCGACAGTTCCAATAGGTTCGCATCCAGACATTGGAGACTTTGTGCACGCAGCTCCGGCGAAAGGTTGCCAGTGATAAGTTGTACTGCTACTCAGCTTTGACTACAAAACTGGGCTCCTAACATCTCCGAATGCATCAATCTCTCCCCCCCCACCCCCCGGCCGGCCCCCAAACCCTCCCTTCCCTAAAATACTTGATGCGCAGTTTTCGAAAGTCGAACGCAAGACTCGGACTTAGCTCCAAGCCCTAGCCCCGCTCAACAAACATTCGTAAATTTCGTGACTTGTTCTCGCCACCTTTTCGGACTTGGATCCTATTGAGCCCTGCCCATGGGCATGCGAGGTGAGTGGCATTGCAGGTTTGGCAATAGCATGCTATAGAACGGCCTGTTCAAGGATCCGCACATGCAGTACCTTGCATCTGTACTGATATCTCTCGCCTTTGATGATGCCTAAGCTAATGGACTTCTCAAACTTCTGAAACGTTGTACAAGAAAGGTCGGGCTCGCGTCATTGGCAGAGGCACTTGAATCTCGTCGCTTCGTCTGCGATTTCACACACCTTTCCTTTAAAGGAGGCACCAGGCTTCAGGGTGCCGCCTTGCCATGTGCTTCGGCCTGTGCTTTCCATTCTTGTCGAGAAACGTGCTCCCACACAGTGAAGCTTCTTGTTGAGGCATATTCCCGTCACACGATGCACTCAACTACTACCGATCGAAGCTGCTCCATGTCAGTGTGAACCCACTGAGATGCAAGTTGGTGCCAGCATCTGTTCATGCATGGCTCATGTAATGATTCTATTCTCTACCGGTGGATGTCCCTCCTTCAATCGGCAACCCGAAGACTATCGCCCACAGTGGCTCGACGACCTCTTGTTCTGAGCACCTGGCTGTGCTGCACGTCAAAGCGAACGGCCTGCGTGCGAGCATCACAAGTTTGGTTGTTTGGCCGCACATCATCTGCGCCGAGAACACGTCAGGCTCAAGTGAAAGCCAGTCAAGGTCTCCAAGTGGAGGAGCAAGAAGCATCGGGCCTGAATATCCTAAGAAGCTGCAGTTGCGGAGGTGGGCCAGCAAGTTCAGAGAAGAAAGTTGTCAGAAGCACCTGAACAGTCATGCATCGTGCGTGCTCTGGCATGGCCTGGATTGTTTGGCTCTGCATTTTCTAGCATTGACGGACCTCGTCATCTCTGATTTGTCTGCCGTTGCAAACGAGAGATAGTTCAGTCTGATGAATCCCTGACCTCGATGGCACGAGAACTTCTGAGCTCGAAGTCTGCCAGCAGGCAATGCTCGTGGGCATCTGCAGCATGCTCTCACAGAGGCACCAACAGTTCAGCCAGTCGTTCCTTGACCTCCACACCCTGCCAGGACCGTGAAGCGATGGGCCACTCTGGGGAGTTTCTGTGTGCGTTACACACCACGCATTCTCGAAATTCCCTCAACTGCAGTACTGGTAGTTAAGTTCGTCTGGTTGTCGTGTGCAGTTGTTAAACCTGGCCGTGAAAGCCGCAGACTTCAGCGATAACATCTGGACACAATTGCCAGTGGGAGAGAAGCTTTCAGGAGCAACGGCTCCAGAAATCATCCGAGGCTTCCATGCGCAAATCAACTGGAACAGTCAGTCAAAATGTCAACTGGTGGCAAGAGGAAGTGGGGCGGTCCTGAAATGCTGCCCTGTGCCGCGGCTACACGAGAGAAGGCGTGTCAGACTGAAAAAACAGCACCCTTCATGACGTCACGTCCCTAACAGGCCAAAGATGTGCCACAGCACCCAATGAGGAGTCGAATTTGGAGTGGAATCGTCGACTCACTTCACGAATCTTCATGACCTCGTTGCACTCCCTAGCTATAGGCATCAACGAGACTAGCCGATCGGTATCAAAGTGGAACTGGACACCTTTGGATGAAACGTGCTGTCACTGCTAATTGTTTGTTGAACAACCGAAGACACCAGAAACTGACACTGCTGCGTGGCCTTGGCCGTGTTGCCAATGATGAATTTCCAAGATCGTCCACTCAGCATAGCAACCTCATGTTTCAACCTAGCTAATCGGGGCCCGCCATAGCCGGACATTGCGACAAGTGGCCTCAACTTCGAGACCTGTTGCATCACTTTCCCAACAGATCCAGCGCTGTCGGTTGGCCTTGGACGTTTTGCCACCAGTAGGATGGTGCAGGAACTGTGCACAGTGAAGGTGTAAAGGATGAGACCTGTTGACGAAGCTGGCATAGTTCCTGCAGGATCATGATGTGTGCTAGTCGCAGCGTGACGCCGTGAAATGCAACGCAACTCCTTCCGCATCATGGAGGCACATGGCTTCGGCGGCTTGCTCCGAAAGAAACTCCTGTGCACATGAAAAGCCACCAAAGTTCCAAAGCCACACTGCACCCTCCCTTTGCTGAAAGAATACATGTAGGAACCGAGAGCAGTCACGACAAGGACAAGAGCCCATCAACATACGAGCTTGAGCATGAGCTTCACGTCTATCACGACGCTGTCATGCTTTCTTGACCTTGAAATACGCCTGACGAACAAGAAGACTCTGGCCGCAGGGTTCAGGGTTCAAGGCGAAACAAACGCAAACAGTTGCTCGCAGGGAAGTGCTCCCTGCTTCGAGCATTGTCGTCGACGAGGCCGGAATGATGTTGATAGGGTTTGCAGCACATTCCCCACGATTAAGGAGAAGAAGACCAAAGCAGCCGGCAGTTGTTCAGCTGGAAATAGTGCAGCGCTGCCTTTTCACTTATCTGGGAACCCTTTTCCTGGCTGGTCGCCGACGTGCCATTGACTGCCCAAGTATCTTGAAAGCTTACCGAGCTCACATCTCACTCAGCGTTACTGTACCAAGCATCCAAGAGTGGCAGGTAGCGTGTCCTTAACGATTGAATGATGGACGATGAGTCGCCGCAACCTGCGCACATGCAAAAGCAGTGCACTGAGATACCACTGACTCACTGCTGAAACGCGCCTTGGGGAAAGCATGTGTAAAGGGTGTGGAGTAGTGTACCCAAGTCCTTGTGAGGTCATAGGCGGACAAGGAAACATCGATGCAGCTTCGGATTCAATCCATCGGTCCCAAAGCACCGTGTATCTCACATTGGTGGGACGGTGCAGCGACCTTCGCTCGAAGGTCAACTGTCCAAAAGCTCGTCCGGGATTGACTGCTCAAAGCTGCACACTTTTGCCTACATGCTTCAAGGCTTAATCCTCTTTCTGCACGCCTCGACCTACACAGCCCAAGACTACAAAAGACGGCCATGTTATTCCGAGATGCTGCGCCAGGTCACTGTAGGACTTCTCCAATTCACCAAGACGGCTTGTTGCAGACTCCATGGCAAGGTGTTTTCTGTTACGGCGATGCTGGGCCTGTGCGCATGTCCGTTTTGCCGTGCCGCTTCATGCTGTCTGAGTTGACAATCGAACAGTAGCGACTCAGTAATGCAAAAGCTCCAAAGCCAGAAGCGCCACAGCATGAGTGGGAAATCCGGGCAACAGAATCAGACAGAATCAAGCTTTTCTGGGCAAGCTGGGGCTCCCAGACCTCAGCCTCCTTCGCTGACTTTGCCTCAGCATCACACAAATTGTCACGAGGAGCTCTTGTCTGTAAGGGTTCGCACCTTTTGCTTCGCAATCGCTTCTATCCTGGCCGAAGACATTGATTGGTACCAAGAAACTTTGGTAGAAAACACTTGGGTCACGAGATACTAGTTTCTACCAATGCTTGGTGGGCAACTCAATCTGTGAACGGGCAGAAAAAAATAACCGATGCCAGAAGACTGCAATTGCATTGTGTCGTTCTTGGTGGAGACGTCCGCCAGCTTCGTGTGTGCCTGATTGCCAGACGCCGCTATGCATCATGCATCAGTTCCACAAGGCAGGAGCTGAGTGCTCCTTGCGAATAGCCGCTTATCCAAACAACGCTGCATCATCATCAACATCATCATCTTAGCTGCAGGCAACGTTCTGCAGGTGCTGACAGTAGTCCACGTGACTTGTGATGTCAGCCATCTCCTGTCCACCCCACGCGGCAGCAACTGAAGATATTGTGCAGTTCTCTGGGCGTCCTTGAGAAATTTTTTAGGTGCACCTGTGGTGCTTGCAATCGTGCGGCGTTCGGAGTCAGACCTGAGCACATGTCGATGTTTGCATGGACGCATGGGAACCTGCAGTTCCAACGTGACAACGAGAGTCTTGCTTTCTTTCCCACTCTGACTGGAGAGATTTCCACACGCGGACGGCACTCACCAAGGTTGCAATTGATGACTTGACCTGGCAACAAGTATTTCACTTGTGTTTGACAGTGTCCTTCCTGGTCCCGGGCCCACCTCCTCGATCATGGCGTCATATGTCATGACTCTTTCGTGGATTTTCTTCAAGAGGACGTGCCTGAGCCGTCCAAAGCACTAGCGAGAGACACACTTCGATTTCGTTTCCCACCTGGCCCAGGCTTCCCAGCAAGTCGCCTGGTTAAAGCGTAGCTGCATGTCGCCTTGCCTGATGAAAGCCCGGAGCCAAGCTCTGTGCACTGCAGGTTTCTGTGGCTAAGAAAATGGCCGATAGAAAACGGCTTCGGCAAGAGCGCACGATGCGAGCTCGAACTCCTGCACTCAAGCACAAACCGGCAACATCAAGTGGAGACTACTAAGCTTTCTCCTCCAACATGAAGTGAGCTTGGGCAATGTAACTCCGCACCTGCATCAACGAGCATGCACGAGTGCAGAGCTACGAAGTACAATGAAGTCTTCCACGGCGCACGGACTTGTCTTCGGGATCCAGTTGCTTGGCTTCATTGTAACACTCGAGTGCTCTCCTGTCCGACCAGATCCACAGGGCACACGTGCAATCTGCAGCAGCACTTCGTTGCACAAGTTAGGGACTGCACCTGATGTCAGCAGGCTTTCCGAATTCCAGCAAGACATGGCCCAGATTTATGTACCTGAGCGGAAAACTAAGCTTGCAGGAATCATCATGCAAGCTTCCAGTCAACATCAGCAGATGCCCGATCGCTGACAAGCAGCACCGAAGGACTTTCTGCCATGGCCTGTCGCAAACAAATTTGCAAAGGATCGGGCCCTGGGCACCGTGGCATGCGCTAAACTGGGAAGTCCAGCCGGTACGTTTTTCGGTTGACATGATGAAACGGATCAAAGAGATGAGTATGTGCGCCAGCGGAGAGCCCCCAACCCGCTCGCCGTGGGTCCACGAGGACATCAACTTTCAAAGGATTAGAGCTGCTGCGATCCGAATTCCAACGAGCGGCTGGAAAACGAGATGCTGCTGACTCCTGAATTGAACGTGAACTACCAATTGCGGCAAATGCTGATCTGATAGTCAAACAACTTCGGAGATGCATTAGCCTGGAAGCCTGCCTTCATGGCAGGATTTCCGGCCGCACCCAGTTGGGAACTCTGGGAGCAAGACGTCCCATGATCATAAGTTATTAGTATGTCTAGGCATGGCCTTTCCGGGCGAGTTCGCTCAAGCAGGCTATTTATTTTCAGACCTGCAGAAAACACGAATTTGGGCTACGGGCCCACTGTCAGTACTTGTAGATAGGAGCACGAGGAGTAGGAGTAGTAGTAGTAGTAGTAGTAGTAGTAGTAATAGTAGTAGTAGTACTAGTACCAGTACTAGTAGTAGAAATAGTAGCAATAATAGCAGTAGTAGCCTGTAGTAGCAGTAGGAACAGTACTAACAGAAATTGCAACAGTACCAGTAGCAGTAGTAGCAGTAGCAGTAGCAATAGCAGTAGCAGTGGCAGTGGCAGTGGCAGTAGCATTGGCAGTGGCAATGGCAGTGGCAGTAGCAGTAGCAGTAGCAGTAGCAGCAGCAGAAGTAGTAGTAGCACTAGTAGCAGTAGTAGTCGTAGTAGTCGTAGTAGTAGTAGTAGTAGTAGTAGTAGTAGTAGTCGTAGTAGTAGTAG